TTAATTACTCTCTCAGGGAAGCTTTAGTCAAAAAAAAAAGGAAGAAAGAAAGGAGACACCTCCTCTATATTAACTTGCTCTAAAGCTCCCTGGGGATGAGTGGCATTTTTCCTTATCAGGTTTTAAAATAGGAGCTTCAGCAAAGAATTAGACTTCAGCTTACAATTCCCCCCTTCTCCCCCCCGGCCCCATCCGGCACCCCACCACAGCTCCCCTCCCTCGCAGCAAACCGAGTCTGAGCCGTCTCCTCATTCCCATGCCCGTAACATCCCTGCAGGGGCAGAGCTAACCACCTGTGCCAGGTTTTCCCAAATCCCTACTTGTTTTGGGTTCCCTTTTGGGTCCAACACCTTTGCAGGGCAAAGCACGCCTGTGCACGTGCCCATGGTCACATCGGAACAGCAGGCGATGGAAAGGAGAGTTGGAAGCAATGGTGCTGCACGAGGCGATGCTCTCGAGCAAGCCAGAGGCGCAAAGAGGAATGCCATGCTCAAAGGCACTGGAAAAGCCTGGATGATCCAGCCTTGCTCCAAAAAAGATGTGTGGCCGGGAGATGGGCAGCTGGGAAGGTGCTCTGTTGGGTTTGAGGACACCACGGGCCACAAATGAAGCAGAGAGCGCAGCTTATTGGAAAAAGATTCAAGGCTATTTCCTCCCTTTCTGCAAACGATGATTTTTCATTAAGAAAAAACCTGGCTCCTAAAGCCGCCACAGGCTCACAATTTTGGATGAAACCTAAGAAGAGAGAGAACGCGCTTGCTAGAAACGCCTTGTACAGTTTGCAGACACCTTCGACACAAAACGTATTTATCTTTAAGCACACACACACACACAAAAAAAAAACCACCAAAAAAACCACCCACCACAAAAGCACATCAATTTTCCAGCCTTCCAACGGAGATTTTCCGATTAGCCCCAGTTACGGGTATTTTCACGGCGAGGCAGCTCTCCCCCCGTCCCACTGCCTCCACGCAGTCTAGGAAGCCCTCCCAGATGCTTTCAGCTGAAAGACACCATCCAGGCAAATAAACACCCACACGAAATGGTGTGCCACAGAAAAACGACATTTAGAGGATGTTGTGATTACAGGGGCAGGCACTCCAGCAGCTGCCG